TTGGGCAAAGGTTCAGAGGGAATCAGTTCTTCGTTGAACAATTCATACATGTTTTTGAGTGTCTTTATGATGTTTCCTTATAGACACCTATGGTTAAACCCTTTCAAGACTTACTAAAGAATTCCATAAAGAACCTCTAATTTCTATGGTTAATTAATAGAAATTGATATTTTACTCGAAGGACTAGAAGTTTTTATGAAAATTACATCTAAGTTCCCCCCCTTTTTAAATTAAATTAAAAATTTTTTTACATCTAAGTTTTTAAAAACAGAAATTTATACATTAAACTCTGTGAAATTGAAATGCTTTTTTGAGTTGTGACCAGCTGCAAATGCTAATTTAGAAAAGCTATTTTTTTCAGAAAGGCTATTTTTCAATGACCAAATTCTAGATGCAACAAGAATGATAAAACAGAAAAATAAATCTATAATAAACACATATTTCCAAATAAACACCAAGAACTGGAACATTCACAGTTAGTGTACGAAGAATAGTCTTTGAGCCAAGTGAAAGAGAAGCAAATCCCACTTGTAAGATGTTAGCCAAGGATTGCTTGGTAGGCTTTTAAGTAAATTCAATACAGCCTGAAATGTACATTTGAAAGATGAAGTTTATTGAAATAAAGTGAAGACTGAGGTTGAGTGCTTTGGCTTAAATTATAAATTGAAACCAGCCACAGTATCTACCTGAAATCAAAGTCAGCCAAAGAATTGTAGGACACAGAACACAGAAATCACATGCTAGTATGAGTGTAACTGCCGGACAACCTGTGAAAACCTCAAACAGATTTCCCCAAATAAGGCCCACGCTTGTATTTTCACGAGGTTCCTCAAGAAAACCTGCACCGGGTTGCAGGCACACATACTACGGTCTCCTCTGGGAGATGCACAATGACGGTAACATATGAAGGCCCTCAGACGGCCTGAGGGGAAATATGTTTAATTTTTAAAATTTATTTATTTTACTGTTGTTATTGAAAATATACACAGCAAAACATAAACCTACCGTTTCTACATGCGCCATCTAGTAGCACATCTAGTAACACTGATGATCTTCTAGTTATGCACCTGTACTGACCCTTCTTTTCTAACTCAGTTCTGCCCCCTTACCGTAAACTCATAGCCTCCTACTCTTCCTATTTCCTCTTTCAAGTTGCTCTTAAAGGACCATAAGGGGCAGGTAGACACTTTTTCCTGGTTAAGCTATAGTTTGGTGAGCAGAGACCTTCAGGGGATGACTAGTTTGCAGTTGAAAGAATATATCAGGCCAGTGGTTTAAAGGAAACATGCTTCATTTTAATTCCGTATATTTCAAATGTGTTTGATAGTTAAATCTTTCTTGTTTCCTTTTTCTCACAGCACTATGTTGCATCATTCCTAGAGCAAAGTGTGGCTAGTTTATTTTCATGTCTAGTTATAATGTGTGCTCTCCACAATGGAATTAACCCAAACTTGTTCTATGGCATGCAAATCCAGGATTGTCTATACAGTTTACTGACTGATGCATGCATTTGTGGAATGATTCTGTATTGAAAGAGGGCAGAAGATGAGACCAAGAAAAAATATGAAGGAAAGAAAAACTTGTTTATGGGGCAAGACTCAAAAAGAGGAGAAACAGCTGCAAACATCCCTGATCAGAATCAGAGTGTACAAAGTGAGAATCCTGGAAAATAAGAAGTCATCCAAAATGAAATCGAATGCAGAAAGATCAATATCGAATGCGTTCGTGAGCTGAAATGGCTGGCATTAGCCATTGTGAAATTAATGATCATGACTTACCATGCCAAGACGGTCAGACTCCAGAGGAATGGGATCTCATTCACTGTTAAAAAGGACATTTCAAGATGTATCTTGAACTGGCCTATCTGTGAGAGGATAATCTCCATCTGCCCACAAGACCAGTTACTACAACTATTATTCAAGTTTGTGCACCAACCACTAAAGCCAGTGAGGAAGAAGTTGAAGAGTTCTGCCAACTTCTTCAGATGGAAATTGATCAAATATGAAAATGAAGTGTATTGACAATTACTGGTGATTGGAATGGGAGAATTTAAACAAAGAGGAAGTAGTTGAACATGCTAGCTTAGTGACAGAAACCACGCTAGAGACCAAATGACAGAATTCTGCAAGGCCAATGACTTCACTGCAAAAATGTCCTTTCAACAACATAACTAGAGACTTCTCAGATGGGATACACAGGAATTAAAACAATTCCTTCTTGATATTCTTTTCATATTTCATAACTTGTTGCCTATTTTTGCATGTTACTATAAACAAAGCAGTCCTACCCCACCCCCCATACAGCATCTGCTTTGATTAATAGCTATAAGCATACCAGCACTGGTTCTATGATGAATTATGACAGATCTAGCCATTCCTCCTTCTCTATTAATGTGGTATTTCTTTCTTGATACAGCTTTGTGGTTGTCTCAGGTATACTGTTTCTTACCACTTCTTCCAATGGTTGAATTTTTTTTAATGCACTTAAACTGTCAGAGTAGATATTGAACTACAAGCTGAAACTTTTCTATTCTCTTTTACATACTCAGTGAGCAGTCACTGAATATTTGTTCTCTGTAAAGCGCTGTGCTAGTAAATCTCATGTAAAAGGGGATGTCACACCCCGGCAGGATCTCTTTATATAGAATCTCAGTGCTTACACTCTCCTTGGTAGCCTCAGTCACAACTGTATGTAACTGTGGATTGTTTCTGTTGAGAATGTGTCAAGGAAGGAGGTACCATGTTCCATCGTCTTCACTGCTACTCCTCAGACTTGCCCACCAGCATGTTTAGGTTACTGTGTAGAGCAAAGGAAGGGGAAAAATGATTCCTACCAAGGAAAGAGAATCATTAGACGATGTAGGTTACAGAAGCCCAAGGAAGGAGACAGAGTTGGTGGTGCCACATATTGCTGAATCTTTCCAGTATGTTTAGGACATCAGTGTGAAGAGATTTCACCCATTAGTCATTTATGGAACTCTGAGGAACCCGACCACCTGCCTTCGGTGTGTCTGTACCCAACATGTGAGCCTTAGCCATCGCAGCTAGCACCCCAACCACCCCAAACAATTCCAGGAAAGACAACTGGCTATCCCTAGTAGACTTGATTCCCCAGTATCTGTGACATCCGCTCACTGCCTTTGCTGTGCTCCTTCCCTCTCTTCAGAAAGTCTTCCACAGCCACCTGACTCCATTAACCTTCTTGTATGAGGAGCATCCACTCCTGTCTTGGACTGAATTTTGTCCCTCAAAACTCTGGACAAACCACTCTCAGTGGTTTGGGAGTTGTGGAATGAAGTAAATTGGCAGCTGTAAAGCTGTAATTATTTCCCATGATGTGGTCTGATATGATCAGGCTAGCAGTTGTAAGGGGATTAGGGTGAGATGTAATACCCTTACTCTGAGCAAAGCCATTGTAAGGCATTTGTCCGCAGTATGGCCTGAAGCAGCCTCTATAAGAGATCAAAGAAGAGAAAAATGAGCAGATAGGGAGGGTCTTGACTGTCACAAAGAAAGAAGAGTATCCCCATATTGCTTGCCAAGAGAGCACATCCTTTGGACCCAAGGTCCCTGAGCTGAGGATCTCCTAGACTGAAGGAAAGATTGGTGCCATGAGAAGTGGGGAGCTCCAAGAGATGCTGGGCCCACGGCGATGGAAAGGAAACAAGGACCTGTCCCAAGAGCTGACAAAGAGAAAAAGTGTTCTCCTAGAGCTGCCACCTGATTTGGACTTCTGTCTTCGTGAACCACAAGAGATTACATATCTATTTGTAACAGCCTGGATGACTTTAACAATGGGATATTGTAGTACTTCTGTAATATCACACTAGATAACTAAGATAGCTCTCTCCTTCTTTCTTACAGAGAACTTGTCTTTCAACTCGAGGAAGCCAGTCTGTTTCCTCAGCTTCCCTTAATTTCAACCTCTCTGTCAAGAACATTTCCAGATACATCCAAAGATAGTCCTGAGTAGCTCATCCTAAAAACCCTCCTAGTATAGTTGTCTGAGGTGTAAGTGACAATTTGTATTCTTATCAGATTCACAGGGAATACAAAATGCTGCTGGATGGGAGAACATATATTTAAGAACAATTGAGATATAGCATATAGAAGGTCAGAAGGGGAGATCCACCCTAGGTAAAAGGAGGAACCCTGAGGAGGAGTTAGGAAAGACAGGCCAAGACAGAGAGAGGCTTGAAGGCTTTTATGGTAATGCGATGACTCAGGTGAGGGGTTGGCCAAGTCAGAAAGATCATGTGAGCCAACCTCAGGGGAGGTGAGCTGATACCTCATCAATCATGCCTCAGTCATGAGTCCCCAGGGAAAACTTTGGCCCTGGATGCTCCAGGGACTTCCTGGTTTTAAGACATTGAGGCATGTGGGAAGGTATAGTTGGGATATCATGTGGGAAATCCTCCCAGATTCTCCAAGAAAATTAAGAGAAGAAAAATACTTTGAGGATATATGTAGAAAATAAGTGCTAAGGGATGGGAATCAAGATAAGAGCCACTGTGGAGAAATAATGAAATCAACAATGATTTCTGAAAGATGAAGGTGCCCAGACCCCAGATGGTGCCTGAACGTGGCAATGGGCAAGAGAAGCAGTCTGGGTGTGGAGAAGGCAGCTCATAAGAGCAAGTGGTTGAAAGGATAGCTGGGTTTTGTATGCATTCAGGTTTATTTTGAAGTATTCTGCTGGGAAAGAGGGATTAATGAGATCACAGAGTATTATCACTTGATTCCCGTTAAAGCGTTCCTATGTACCGAGGTTAATGAAGAATGGCTAATTAGCATCTTTAAAACCCAAGGAAAAAAGAACTATCCATCAGCACTGTCTTTTCAAGGCACAGACAAATGTAAAATCAGAATCTGTATTAATGAAATCAGAGTGCTTATTTAGACTTCAATATACCAATCGGGTGCTTTTCTTTAGCCACAGATAACTTTACCATCACCCTTGATTCGCTCAGGACCTACAGAGAAGACTAATTTTAAACTTACTGGGATCGGGGCAGAATCCCCACTTCTCGTCTCGTTCATAGTGACTTGTGGTGGCACACCACAGCAAGTCATCATCCCGGCCTTCCCGCGTGCACTCATGATGCCACCGCCGATGATACAGGAATGGAAACATGCATGGCATCCCATGGGCGTTCCCTTTAATCGTGTACAAATCTAAGAGACAGAAAATGACACCAGGGAGTAAGCATCATGCTAACCTTATCTCGGAAAACTGTCCGAGAGTTTCATGCTATTTTTAGACGTCTATTTTTGTGAAAACACACCACAAAGGAGACGCTGTTTGAAAAAGATTCTACATGCACAATTCAGTGGCACTGCTTATATTCTTCACGTTACATCCTTTTCCCGATTGTTCCACCACCACTAATGAAAAGTCACTGCCCCCTACCCTTCTCATTTAACCTTTCGATAAGTTGCTGTCAACTTGGTTTCACGTAGATAAAGCTTTGAGAGAGCACGAGGCTCAAGGCAGATAGACATTTCATGCTGGTTTAGGGACTAAACCCCACGAAGAATGCTCCCTCTCCCGGTCATTAAGTCAATTCCGACTCATAGCGACCCTGCGGGGCAGGGTTGAACGGCTCAGTGTGGAAAAACTCTCTGCTGAGGAGTACTGGCTGGTTTCCAACTGCTGACCTCGCAGTTGACGAGCCAATCCGGACCACTATGCCACCCAGGCTCCTTACTGTGCACAAGATTCTTGTTACTCCACGATCAAGTCTCTAGGAACTAACTGTCTACTGTATATAAAATTCTAGGCCGAGTGTTAGGTTCACAGGAGGTGCGGGTTAAAAGTTTGTTTAGATATTTGTAACCTGCTACAGTCGTGTGTGTGTGTGTGTGTGTGTGTGTGTGTGTGTGTATGTGTGTGTATAGCATGTTATGATGTGCCCTGAAATAGCTACTGCTCCTCAGCAAGTACCTCCCTAAACACGAGGGCTGGTGTCATGGCAATTGTGGGGAAATTGCCTCTACCGATGTGGGGAAAACAAAACAAAACAAAAGTCAAACTCGCTGCCATCTAGTTGAGGCTGGCTCACAGCGACCCTTAAGGACAGGGTAGAACTGACTCTGAGAGTTTTCGAGACTGTAATTCTTTACGGGAGTAGAAAGCCCTGTCTTTCTCCCTCGGAGCCAGCGTGGTTTCAAACTGCTGATCCTGTGGTTAGCAGCGCAAGGCTATCCCACCAGGGCTCTTGTCCAAGGTGGAAAAGTGTAGGAATCTCCACAGCTGGTCCTTTCATCGCAGGACCTAATGGTTTGCTGGAGCATGGTCCTGGTTGCCCACCCCATAAACAGCCCATGAAAATCTTTTGCTTCTTGCTTTAGGCCAAAGGTAACCGACCATTACAAGACACGGAGAAAGCACCGGAAGTCCACTTCTGCCTCATCACCGGTCCTCTGGACTGCTACCCCAGCTAGTCACTCCCTCTTTGCCTGTTTCCCCCCTTGGCACGGTTCTGCCCCCGGAGTGACTCTTTAAAACTGGAAATCTTGCCAGGTTGCTTTCCCATGCCGTGAGTACGTAAATTATCTATTTACCTTTATGTGGATATTCGCAAATGCCTCCACCCGCTGACATATAGGAGATCCACTTATGAAGATATTTCCACGAGGCCACGATGGAGTGGTCGTGCTTCACCTGCACCATGTACTGGAGCGGACCCACGATCATCTTCCTGTTACAGTGCCACTGCAGGGAGACGTGGGTAGAATCGCATTCGTATATGTTCAATGGCTGTTCTGGGTTTGATAAGTTAAGACCGAGGCAGCCACTCCCTCCTATGTTAAAGAGGCGCTGCTTTGAAACCCATTTCCACAGCATATTCTTGTTGGGTTGTTTGCAGTTCTCTAGAGTGAGCCCAGGTTTGCCTGCTTGAATACATCGCTTGAGACTCTCACTTTGGATAACGAAAATCCCTTGATCTAAAAGAGAACAAGAAGAGATACAGTGTTAAAATTTTAGATCTAATGAAGTAGTGCCACCATTGGCCTCACGGTCATACCTCACGGCTGCCCGTCATCACAGATCTGGAATAAAAAACCAGGGCCCCCTAAATGGCTTTGTTGGCACAAACCAAGCAGTTTCTTGGGAAAGAGAAGTTTACTGATTGGCGCTCTTGGGAGACCTCTCATCTCCGAGCCTCGAGACCATGTAGGAAGAAGGGGTCTGTCTATCGACTCGGTTAGGGTTCTGGCAGAGAAGGACTCATCCCTGGCCCCAGACGGGTGGCTGATCATACTATTCAGGGGGGAGGGAGGCACGCTGGGTGTCAGAGGTATGTGGACACTGGTTTGCTTCAGACGAGTGCCAGGGAGGTAGGAAGAAGACGGCTGAAATCAAGAACCACTAAAAGGGAAAAATCGTCAGTTACTAATATTCTCTTTTAAAAAAATCATTTTATTGGTGGCTCATACAACTCATCACAATCCATCCATCCATTGTGTCTAGCACATTTGTACATTTGTTTCCCTAATCATTCTCAAAACATTAGCTCTCCACGTAAGCCCTTGGTATCAGCTCCTCATTTCCCCCCTCCCTCCCTGCTCCCCTCTCCCTGATAAACCCTTGATGATTTATAAATTATTTTGTCATGTCTTACACTGTCCGATGTCTCATGGAGCTAAAAGGATAGAATGGAGTGCTTCTGTGTATACTGCTCCAGATGTAATCCTGGTGAGGGGGGAAAATCTCCACACTTGTTTTGGGCTGGATCATTAGAAGTAGACATGGGTGGTCAGTATGCTGGGGGATGGGCTCTGGCAGGGGTAGCCTTGTGGGGTGGGGCCGGCAGCAGCAGGCGACTCCCCGAACTCTGGCAGCCCTTGCACCTCGATCTGTAAGAAGAGCTCAGGCGCCCAGTGACCCTTGTTGACATAGTCCTGCTCCTCTCCCTTCAGGACTCAGAAGAAGGGGTTTGAGTGAGATGCCTGTGGTCCCACACAAGGAATATGTGACAACGAACTGTCCCCTTCTTGACTTACCTCGAGCTGTTGGCTTAGAAGTTACCTATTATACAATTATGTTCCTGCTAAGTTTATTTTGTCTTGTTTTTTAAGGTGGAACGTTTGTCTCATGCCTTTTGTCTATGTAAAGAGTGAGCATCCGAGAGGTGCCGTAAATGTTCCTGTTGATGTAATACCCTGTTGGCAGCGATTCTACAGACTGTGGGTTGCGGAGTTATATCAGCTCAGACTGTCTGAGAAGGCATCTTGAGCTCACTCACGGCGACCCTGCGGAGCAGAAGAAACTGCCCCTGTGGGTTTGGGAGACTGTAACTCTTTCCAAAAGCCAAACTCACTGCCACTGAATCAAGTCACTGCTGACTTATCGGGACCCCCTGTGGGTTTCCGCGAATATAACTGCTCAGAGGAGTAGAAAGTCCAGTCTTCCTCCGAGAAAGCTGCTGGTGGTTTCAAACTGCTGACCCTGCAGATTGCAGCCTAAGATGTAACCACACCACCAACAGGGAACAGGAGTAGAAAGCCTTACCTTTTCCTGTATAGCAGCTGGTGATTTTGAACTGCTGACCTTGTGATTAACAGCCCAAAGCATAACCCGTGATGCCACCAGGGCTCCTTTGGACAGCTCTAGAGATCTTATTTCTAACTGCTTTTTCATGCTCTCCCTTCTAATATTTAATTTCTTTTCTGGTCTTCCCGTCCGATTTGAAAATCGACAGGAATATTGACCCAGTGGCTGCAACAATGGGCTCAAACCTAACGACGATGGTGAAGATGGGGGAGGGCCTATCAGCGCTTCCTTCTGTTGTTAAGTAAGGTCGCCGTGAGTCTGAAACAACCTGATGGCATCTAACAACAACAAAGGGGTATTGTCAGGTTCGTTTAAAATGACTGATGCTTCGGGTGGCTCCTGTGATAGAGACATGGCCGGAAAACAGAGACCGGGAGAACTGAAAGAGTACAGAACCGAACAGTTCACATACCAGTGCACGGGAAAACTCATTTGGGTAAAAGTTCTTTCAGCTTCTCCAACGTGAATCAGTTGGTGGGAAACTGATTTACAGTAATCAACATGGCTTAAGACTTTAAAAAAATATTGTCAATGACTGCTGATGAAAGTTATACCACATTGAATAATTGAAACATTTACTTATAGAAGCTAGGCATTTGGAAAAGTTCAATTAGATGTCAGAAAACTGCTTTGATCGCCATGCATCAGACAAAAAGCCAAGAGAATGTGGGAGGAAGAGAATAAATGGTTTGGGGGAGATTTCACTGAGATCAGGAAATTTGTTTTCCTAATGAAGGCCATGTCTATATGATTATTAGTAATAGTTATTCAAAATCAAATTTGCCTCTTGCTGCTGCGATTGTGGGCTCTGATTAATTAACCTTCTCTCTCACTCTCCTTTTTGCCTTTTCATGCCTGGGTAGAATGTTCACCTTCATTTCTAGGCTAACCTAGTAATTACTTTCCAGCTAGCCCAGCGTTCCATTAATTTTTCACTAAAGGGTAATTATTTTACATAATGGTTCTGCAGTTCAGCGTCTACCTAATCTATGTGTTCAAATAGATAGCAATGCTCTGCAACTTTCTGATATCCTTCAGACCTCTGGGCCGTGGCTTGTGCACGTGAGGCCGGCAGGCTGACAGGGATCTGCCTCGTGGCTACACGCTCTGGAATTGCCTGGTGGTGGTGGTGAGTGCCATCAAGTCGTTTTGGTCTCATAGCAACCCTGTGTAGAACAGAATGCACACCGCCCGGTCCTAGGCCCTCGTCACTGTGGTTGTGGTCTGTGAGTCCGCAGTAGCAGCTACTACGTCAGCCCATCTTGTTAAAGGCCCTCCCCTTTACCCTGCCTCTCTACGTTATCAAGCCTGACGTCCGTTTCCAGGGACTGATCTCGCATGTCCAAGTACGCCAGACAAAGCCTCATCTTGGCCTCTAAGGCAGTGGTTCTCAACCTTCCTGATACCGCAACCCTTGAATACAGTCCCTCATGTGGTAGCGACCCTCCCCCCAACCATTAAATTATTTTCGTTGCTACTTCATCACTGTAATTTTGCTACTGCTATGAATCGTCATGTAAACATCTAATAGGCAGGATGCATTTTCATGGTTGCAAATTGCACATAATTAAAGCCTAGTGATTAATCACAAAACAATACGTAATTATATATTGTGAAATATTTTTGTGTTTTCTGATGGTCTTCGGCGACTCCTGTGAAAGGGTCATTTGACCCCCTAAGGGGTCGCAAGCCACAGGTTGAGAACCGCTGCTCTAAGGAGCATACTGGCTGTACTACTTCCAAGACAGATTTATTTGTTCTTTTGGCAGTCCAATCGGGGCTTTCAATATTCTTCACCAACATCATAATTTGAAGGCATCGATTCTTCTTCCATGTTTCTTATTCAATGTCCAACTTTCACGTGCGTTTGAGGCATTTGAAGCTCCCGTGGCTTGAGTCAGGCATAACTTAGTCCTTGCTTTTCAAGACTTTAAAGAGGTCTTCTGCAGCAGATTTACCCAATACAATGTGTCCTTTGCTCGCTTGACTGCTGTTCCCATGAGCATTGACTGAGGAGCTAAGCAAGCTGAGATCCTTGACAACTCCAGTCTTTTCTCCCTTTATCATGGTGGCCCCTATGGGTCAAATTGTGAGGATTTTGGTCTTCTTAATAGTGTGTTGTAATCTATAATGAAGGGTGCAATTCTTGATCTTCCTCAGCAAGTACTTCAAGTCCTCCACACTTTCAGCCAGCAAGGTTGTGCCATTTGCATATTGCAGGTTGTTAATAAGCTTTCTTCCCATCCTGATACCTCATTCTTCTTCATATAATCCAGTTTGTCTAATTATTTGCTCAATATGCAGATTGAATAAATATGGTGAGAGATAAAACGCTGGTGCACACCTTTCCTTTCCTGATTTTAAACTTTGCAGTAGCTCCTTGTTCTGTTTGCTTCTTGATCCATGCACAAGTTCTGCCTAAATGTTCTAGAATCCCCATTCTTCTCAATGTTATCCAAAGTTTGTTATGATCCACACAGTCGAATGCCTTGGCACAGTCAATGAAACACGAGTGAACCTCTTTCCGGTCTTCTCTGCTTTCAGCAACGATCCATCTGACATCAGCAATCATATCCCTGGTTCCACATGCACTTCTGATCCCGACCTGGACTTCTGGCAGCTTCCTGTCAATGTACTGCTACAACTGCTATCGCTGTTGTTAGATGATCTTCAGGAAAAATATTACTTGAGTGTGACATTAGTGATATTGTCCTATAATTTGAGCATTCTGCTGGGTCACCTTTCTTTACAATGGGTCCAAATGTGGATCTCTTCCTGTCAATTGGCCCAGTAGCTCCATCTCAAATTTCCCGGCATAGATGAATACGTGCTTCACCTGTCGAAACATTTCAATTGGTATTCCATCGATTCCTGGAGTCTTATTTTTAGCTATTGGTTTCAGTACATCTTGGACTTCTTCCTTCGGTACCATTGGTACTTGCTCCTAAACTACCTCCTGAACTGGTGGAATGTCGACACACTCTTTTTGGTATGGTGGGTGGTTCTGTGTAGTCTTCCCATTTTCGTTCGATGCTTCCCACATCATTCAGTATTTCGCCTGAAGAACATTTCCATATTGCATTTCAAGGATTGAATTTTCTCTTGAGTTCTTTCAGATTAAGTTATGCTGGGAGGTTCTT